CCAGACTAAAATGATACCCTATCCCAGATAAAATGTCAAAAAATGATACCCTACCCCAGACCCAAAAGCCGAAAAACCATACCCTATAGGGCGGCACATATCCGTAAAGCAAATATTGGGAAGTACCCCCCACCCCCTTCCCCCGGGAAAGCAAAGAATACCATAGCAGCAGCTGTCTTGAAAGTCCTTGAAGAAAGAACTGGTGTAAAACAGAAAAAGCTGACCAAAGGAGATCAGTTGAATTATTCTTTTTGAGACTGTAAAAGAGCTATTGAACGATGCTAAGATTCCTGAGACCCAATGTCAAACTGACTGAAGAACTAAAATTAATTATTATTCTATTATATAATTATTATGATATTCATGAAGGGTTCATCTATTGATCGTACTCTGCAGTTTTATCCAATTTTAACATTTCAAGAGATATTAGCTAAATATCATTGTTCATTGGCAAAACTTCTCTGTTACATTGTTTTCAGACTGTCACAAAAGTTTGCAGTAACATATATTCATAGAAATAGAAAAATAAAAAATATTGTTCATTTTGGTTTTTAGCAATTTCTCTTCAGAAATTTAGCAGAAGCTATTGTTGGGATATACTAGTTATTGTACTCCTGCATGTTTAGGGTAGGGATGTGCCGCTGAGCCCTCTGAACCCTGACCCTGTTCCAGAGTAAAATCGCTGAAATTCATACTCTGTTCCAGACCAAGATCGCTGAAAACTATACCATTGCGGAAGATAGCCTGTTCCAGAGAAGAGAGAGTGTCACTTCATATACCCTGTTCCAGAATAGAATCGCTGAAAACCATACTCTGTTTGGCGGAACGTACCCGTATAGCGAATAAAGGGAAGTATCCCCCCTCCTCCCCGGTCCCCGGTGTGATACCAAATGCATTTTCTCTCGCATGTTGAGCAGCCAACATTGGTATCCAAACTTATCCAAATTTACGTTACATGTTCTTTAGAAATAAAGCTCTAGCCCTAGCTCGCAGCTTAAATACGTTGCATCGGTCGAGGACTTCGTTTTCCAGTGGGCTTTTTACCAAAGAGGTTTTTATCCTACTGGTTTTTTCGTAGCGGGCAGCGTATTATTGTAATGTAATAATATAGGTTCGTTCTCTAAACACTTAAAAAAAAGTATGTACTTATATTAATTACTTAATCTTATCCTATTAATGATAAAGTTCTAATAGACCGTTTTCTCAAGGTTGCGCGCGCATTCAAATTCAAGGAACTTGACGGGCCACGATATCAGAACACGAGTATTATCATGCATTGCTATGAAATTATTTTGGACAAGAATTCATGAAATCGATTAAAAAATATGACTGGCCTCTCAATTTTACTGAATTTGCGTCTTTCAGTTTTGCGGCCCGTCAAGTTGGATGGGCACACTGTAAAAATTGTTTGGTTGAATCTACCACAAAAAAATGGTTGAAAAGTGGATCTGTGGTAATCAATTGCCAATGGTTGTAATGACCATTTATTA